ATATAGATATAGATATATATAGATAGATAGATATAGATATAGATATATAGATATATATAGATATATATATATATAGATATAGATATAGATATATACACACACATGTCCATATGATTGCTGTATCTGTACATTTCAGTCACTGAATGCTTTGAAAATTCATTTAACACGGATACATTCTCAGAAATTTCTGCAAAGTAGAGATCAAAGTGCAGTATTTCTTTGCCCTCTTTGTGGTTGTAGCCAACCATTCAATGATAAAAATGTCCTTAGTCACTTAAGGACACATCTAAAACAGCATGAGACATTGGATTGCCCTTTCAAAAATTGTCACTACCGTACTAATGTGTATTCTTCCTTCAATACCCATAGAAGTAGGTGTCATCCTGATGGTGATATTTCAGCCTTTAAGTGTGAAATTATCCTTAAAGAAACTGCTAACCATCCTTTACAGAGTAATGTTGAATATGAGGATTCTGGTCCCTCAAACTATGACTATGAACTTGGAAGTCCTTCCTCTAATCCTTCTGAGTCCACACATGACACTGAGGAACTGCAAAATCAGTTAAAAAACAACTTGTCTTCCCTCTTCTTAAAAATGTACAGTGTTCTTCATGTGTCAGAGAGAGCAATACAGAACATCATTGACGACTTGTTGCAGATATATATCTCTTTTCCTGCATCTTTTAATGGAACTTATATCTGGCGTAGATTGGGTTAGCTTTCGGTGTGATGTAATCAGGCTACTTATCGCAGTGCGTCTGAAGCTTTCGGGAGTCGTCTGCGGTGAGCGTCTGCGTGTTGTAGACGTCCCGTCCTTTCTCACCGACCCATAGAAGAAGGTAGCTGCATTTGTCTGCCTCCTCCTTCCCCCGAAGAGGACCAGCGAACATTAGCTCGGTGTGCTGCTTGAAACGTCGCCATGCCTCGGGCAGGTTGCTAGAATCACAATCCATGTGCGGTGTGGGAACGCCGTAAGCCTTGTAAATTCCGGTTCTTTAGTATTCTTAGGGCCAAGAGAGACTGGCTCAAAAGTGGTCTTTTACTTTAAAATGATCTTTAATTTACATATTCCGGAATATGGAGACCTGAACACACGAACACACAAGCTCAGGTCTGAAGCACAAACGGAAGCCTAGGTATTTATATACTTGCTCTCACGTCACACCACACTTGATCAAACAGCCTAGTTGGTTTCACTTTCACTTCATTCTAGCTGCAAAAGCATGCAGTTTCCTGTCAGCACTTTTTGGCACAGAGTGTACTCAGAGTTAAGCCTCTCTTATATTATGCAATGTAATCAGCATATAAACATTTAAGATGGTAAATTTAAACCTCAGCAGCCTCCATGTCTGCGCTGCCCAACGGCGAGGGATTGCGTAGAAAACCGCTACTCTGACACCATGTATTATCTTTGTCTGTATACCGAGCTTCTTATTAAATGCACGCACACACCGATCTCTGCTCCAATTCCACTTTATTTCCTTTTCTCATTTTTCTGGAGCTTCTTGCTCGCCAGTGTATTACACACATTGCAGCAACACAGTGACATCTAGTGGCTGATGCAAACATAGGTCAACATGTTACAGGCACAATTTAGCAGTCTTTGAAAACTTCAAAAAGCAAATGGCCTAGCCTCTTACCCGTGACTTCAGTGGAAATTTCAAATTCATTATCTGACACAGACTGATTCATGCTCTACATAGTTCTTACAAGTCCATAGAAATTTCTGTTCAATTAGAACCAAGTATTTGAGTTGATGATTGTAATTTTTATACA